GGTGTCGGAGGTGTTGAGGCACACCTGGGTTTAGTCTCTTCTGTTCCCCTGCTCTCTGGATTGTTGACTCTGAGCATTTCGCATGACAAAAATAATACCCTATGCTAACACGTCCTTGGCAACTCTGATTGTCTACAGCTTCACAGCAACCATGTTCTTCAGATGAAGCTGCCGTTGGTTTTCCCTTTTTCTCTAGCCAAGCAGCGTTTATTTAGAAAGCTCTGGGTGCAGTGTCTGGCTGATAGTGCCCCATGCTGTTCTGCCTTATTCCTGAAGCTTCCATGCATCTCTTTACATTTATAAATATTCTCCTCTTGCACCCATGCTGCCTCCCGTTACTCGGATGTGCAGTGAATGGTGAAGATGTTTGCTAAGTCTCAAACACGTGGCTTCTCTTCAGACTTCAGAGCTGGCTCTGCTGGGGGCCACGGAGATGATCATTCAGTCTGATGGGCCCTGTCTCTCCATTTATCAGTCACGGATGGTTGAGGGATTTTTGAATCATTTTATGTCTGACCGAAGTTTGATAGATTCTCATTTAAGAAGAGAATTGCTTTTCCTCCTTCTCTCTCTGACTTGTGGTCCTTTCTTTGTATTAGGGGTCCTGGTTGTTCAGGATCTGCTTGTCCAGACCCTTAGCTAAATATAGCTTGTTTCCCCGTCTCTGGCCAGGGTGATCCCTATTCTTAGCAGATAGGAAAATATGTAATTAATGTTAAAAGAATGAATTCTAGTGACATCATTTGCCTTTCGGTTGTTTGACTTTTGAGACCATTCTTTATCTGGGGTACCATGCTCCCAATCAGTGACCTCTTAGGACTGCTGCCACTGATTCCCTGTTTATTTATTTATTTTTTAGTTATTTTTTTAAAGATTTTATTTATTTATTTGACAGAGAGAGATCACAAGGAGGCAGAGAGGCAGGCAGAGAGAGACAAAGAAACAGGCTTCCCGCTGAGCAGTGAGCCTGTTGCGGGGCTCAATTCCAGGACCCTGAGACCATGACCTGAGCCGATGGCGGAGACTTTAACCTACTGAGCCACCCAGGCACCCTGATTCCCTGTTGAATAGCTTTAGCTGAGATGCTTGTGTTTGACCATATTTTCAGGAGATCGGAGGCCTTTCTTGTATCTTTTTTTCCCCCATAGGAAGAAGTATGGCCTACCAAACACCACAGGTTTAAGACTTCCTGGAGACAGGATGTTAATGCCTGAGAAGAGCAGGTGCCCAACATGTATATAAAAGCAGTCAGTGGTAGAAACAGGCAGGCTGGTGGGAAGGTACATGTCTCACCTAAAACATTCAAAGTCAGCGTGAAACAGGGCAAATTTTGGCCCACATCCTACCTTGGAAACACCTTTCAGAATTTGAGATCTGGCTTTGAGGGGACCAACTGCTCCAGTTTTCCAGGAACTGAGGGGTTCTCTGGGAGGTAGCATTTTCAGGGCTAAAACTGCAACATTCCTGGACAAACCAGATGGTTTTTCACCCAAGCTCTAGCATGTTCAGTGCATATGAGCATTGTCTTAAACTAGACTGTAGCTAAACTAAAGCTTTTAAAATAGGGAAGACTTGTTGGATCAATTAGCTTCACCTGTTAAAACCAGAAAGAAGTGTTTCTTCTTCTTCTTTTTTTTTTTTCTTTTTCCTCTGTAAGTTTGCAGTTTTCAATGAAGAAAAAAGTAGCAATGCTCACTCTTTTATTCTTATAAGCAAAGCAGGACTTTAAACTCTATTTGAGGGATGACCCCTTTTCAGAAATTAGAGGCACTGAATTTATTGCCAGCCAGTCATAGCTGCCCATCTGCTAATTCTCTCCACATAGTGGGAGCAGCTGTCATTTCAGAAATGCTACAGTAGATAATAAGATTGGGTACGTTTCATCTTCAAATGCTTAAAACAAATCTCTAGGAAGAACAGCGGCAGTTTCTCTGACTGCATGAATCTCGGATATTATTAACACAAAATGCCAAATGGATTTGGAGATTGGAAGCAAATGGATTTGCTTTAAAAGGAAAAGCACTCAAGTTACGTGTAGTACATATTGTGATAATCTGCACTTGCGTAGATACAGGGACTGCTGTAGCAATAGGCAGACCCAGAGATACTCTCCCAATCATAGCCATGCAGAGAGCCCTGAGTACAAATACATATGGGCTTCCAAGTCCACACAACCTATGGGTACAAAGGGAATGAATGCACCACTCTCTCCATACCCTGCACAACAAAATTTACCCAAAGCTAATGGCTTTCCTCTGTCTTAAATGGGTCATTTCTCCAAATCCACATAATTAGATAATCTCAGATGCCATCCACCAGCCCCCTCTGCGCTGTTTAACAGCCTGAAGTCCAATTGAAAATTTACATTGTTACTCCCTCAGAATTTTTTTTCTTAGATGAATTCTTTTCTTTTTAGTCTCATAGCTTCCACCTCTAAGTCTGCTCAAGTGAGCTGGTCATTGGACCACAGCCTCTTGTTTGGGTTTCCTAGCCAAGAGGATCCTTTTCAATCAACCTGCATAGAGCTCCTTCATTATTCTTCATAATGAAAAAAAAATTAGGGTGAGGTGAGGAACCAATGAACGTTGTCCACGTGCTGCTCTGCATCCCTGAGCCTTCTAGATGGGGATGAAGATGTAAATTTAGATAGAGATGGGGATGTGCACATGGATATAGGTATGGATATGACCTAAAGAGAGACACGGGTAGAGATAGAGTTCTGTAGATATTTCCCCATGGAGATCTTCAGCATAATTCGGGGAAGCGAGTTACTTTTATTTCTATATTTTTTGCCTATGGGGCTGTTGACTCTCAAAGAGAATCCCAAATCCCATATCCAGCGATAGGACTGTGAGTTGGGAGTCGTCCTCTTAACGCCAACCCAGGGCTTATTCTGACTGCAACACAAGCTTTACTTTTTTCTACTTTTGCTATGAGCATTTGCTCATGTAGACATTGTCCCCACACTTGTTCTCCAAGGAGCACATGGCAAGAGAGAGTTGACATGGAATTGATGGCTACTGGATATATACATTGCCTGCATTTTCATTTATACAGATGGAAGTGCTTTTAAAGGGTCTTACTGATTTCATCACTTTTGATGTTACCAAGAAAAAACACAAATCCCCAGTGTTGATGAGAAACCAGGTCAAGGCAAGGAGAATCACAGAGCGGTTTGTGTCCCGGGGCTCAGGGATGTTGTGCCTGCGAGTACCTTGATTTGAGAAAAGAAATTCATTTAAACACAGCAAATACTCTCAGGACCAAGTCTGGGATGTCTGCTTCTTTCTGCTGCTATCACTGTTCAAGATCTCCTTTATGTTTTACCTCCATCCCTGGTCGCCAGGCAGAACAGATGAACCCCATTTCTTGATGTCATTGCTATTAAAAAGAAGGGAGAAAAAAAATAGCAAGAAAAGGACAAAAAAATCACAGAAGAAGGTGAGAAAACCTATTTCTCAAGTCAAAATATTTTAATGGTGAGATCGGGATAAATGATTAATCTAAAGATTTTTAGTTTCTAGCGATCTGTAAGGGGAGGCTGACAAGCACCAAGAACTAATATTTAAAGATAATTTCAGAAACACGAAGATGAGAAAGTGGTGAAAGAAGGAGGCTGAACCTTTTTCCTTCCACCTCCACGATTTATTGAAAATAGTGATTAAAAAAAAAAAAAAACCTACAGAAAACGTATCTGGTTCTATACTTAAATGCTAGTACATTTATTCCTTCGAAATTATTTACTGAATACTGATTCTGGTAGTTACTATATTAGGGTTTTGATGGTAACAAAGCACTGTTCCGGCCCCCAGGAGGCTCCCAGTCCAAGGAAAGAGAGGTAAAAATAACTAAGTAACAGTAAAACCCCGCCCAAAGTGGTTTATGAGAATCTCTGATTAAGGGGAACTCTGGCAGCTCGTGTAACTAACAGGACCAGAACAGGGTGGCCTGGCAAAGGGACAGCGGACAGGGTTGCTCTGAGGGATCTGTGACCTATCTGAAGGACCTGATGTGCGGAAGGACTAGGGCTGCAGGAGATGTGGCCTGGCATGGGGGAAGGAGGAGGGGGATGCTGGGCTGCCTCCCCTCCATTCGTGGCCTCTCTCCTGTTAGCTCTCCTGAGTAAATAGCATCGGAGCAGGCTTGCTGGGGGCCTCCCCCGAGCTTGGGCTGGCTGTACTTGGTCATCTCGGAGAATCTCTTTTTTTTGGATGACCTGACCTGACAGCTCAGCATCTTGGCTTCCCCCTGAATCGCAGGCCACGCTCTCCTAACCAGCTGCGTCAACTTTGTAAAGTAACTTGATGCTTTCCAGTGTGAACGTCTCCGTTTCCCAAATGAGGGGATGGATGACTCCGCTCATGTGTCATGATGTCTTCGCAAAAGATACTCGGGCTCTCTGGGTAAATGTCAAGTGTGCTGTGTCACCTGTATGGATAAGATGGGAGAAGGAGCCATATGCTTTCTCAGAGGGAAACAGCCCTGGATGTGAAGCCTAGCTATTAGTTATGTGATCTTGGGCCATTTATGTAGTCATTTTGAAGCTCCAGTCTCTTCACTGGGATACAGAACTATCCACCTGGCAGAGTTATTGGGCCAGCTGGAAAGAGTGTATATAAGGTACCCGGCATGACAGTTTGAGCTCAACTTAATTATTTGTAGAATTGAAGGTCCCAGAGCCCAGAAAAATTTATGGAATTCATTCTGTGTAGATGCATATAACGGGGAACTATCATTTCCCAAACTTTGTCCTGAAACAGCGATAACCCAATAGCAAGTCAAATATGGTTTCCATTTCTTTTGGGGGCCTGGGAATAATCCCAACACTTCGGGAGCTTGAATGACAGATCCGCAGCTTTCTGGACATCTGCAATGGATGCCAATCGGGCAGAAGTCAGAGGGACGCGGAATTCATTAGTTTGTTTGTCTTGTCGAGCTCTATTTTCTCGAGTTATTTTCTTCTCAACGAGTATTTATTTGCTCCTTGTTTGTTCCTGCAGCCACAGATGCTCACTGAAAGGGGAGGATTTGAACAGACAGTGGCTCTCTCCCAGCGCTTGTCTCCAGCCAACGATCTACCACGCCAAAGGGCTCCTGTACTACCTGAGCAGTGTTGGCCGAAGTCCCAGGGTGAGTCACTTCCTTCTGCCTCCACACTCTGGGCTGGTTCCTTCCATCTTTCACGAGGAAGCTTACTTTCTGTCAAGGAAAGAAACCCAGATACAAGCCAAAGACCTATGTGTGACAGGCTTTAATGGGGGATGTATTCATTTCCTAGGGCTGCCATAATAAGCACCACAGACTGAGTATCTTGAAGCAGAACAGAAACACATTCTCTCACTTTTCTGGAAGCTAGACATCTAAGATCAGGACATCAGCCAGCCATGATATCTCCAAAGGCTCTAGGAAAAACCCTCCATTGCCTATTCCTGGCTTCAGCTGATTGCTGGGAGTCCCGAGTATCCCTTGGCTTGTGGCAGCCAGTCTCAACCCTCTGCCATCCTGTGTGTGTGTGTGTGTGTGTTTGTGTCTGCGTGTCTATGTACATACTTCCCTCTTCTCGTAAGGACAGCAGTCACTGGATTGGGGTGACTTCATTAGGGCCCACCACAATGAGTACAGCCTCATCTGAACTCGATTTCCTCTTCAAAGACTTGTCTCTAAATAAGGTCCCATTCACAGGAACTAAGAATAGACCTTCAACATGCTTTTTATTTTTTGGAGGGGGTAGACACAGTTTAATACACAATAGTGGAAAACATTGGTTCAACACCCGTTGGTAAGAGGTGTACAAAAATTGCATTTTATCCCATTTTCTACATCTTTATTTTTCTGGGTTTTAAGTTATTGGTCAACAAAGAATATGTATCTAATAAGTAGTGTTTCGAAGAAATGCTCTCGATGTTCATATTCATGTTCAAGTAGTACTTACTCCGTTCCAGAGATGATTCTGGCACTGTCCCAGGTACTTTTATGTGCCGGGTTTAGCAACTGTACAATTGAGAGAAAACATGACGGATAGTCCACCCCCCGACTTACTGATGGTTCCTACTTAGGATTTTCTTTTTCTTTTTCTTTCTTTTTTTTTTTTTTTTTTTTTTTTTTTACTTTACTATCGAGTGAAGCTGAGTCACGTTCGGTAGGAACCATATTTCATATTTTGAACTTTGGTCTTTTCCCAGGCAAGAGACACATGGTTCGATCCTCCCTTGTGCTGCTGGGCAGTGGCAGCAAGCCAGAGCTCCCAGCCAGCCACACAATCAGGAGGATGAGCAACCTCTACCGGTACCACAGTTTGGTACCCGTACAGCCATTCTGTTGTTCAGTTTCAGTTTAGTGTTCAATAAATAGATGAGATAATCAGCACTTTATTATAAAATAGGCCTTGTGTTAGATGATTTCACCCAACTGCACACTAATGTAAGTGTCCTGAGCACATGAGGGTAGGGGAGGCTAAGCTGTGTTTGGTAGGTTAGGTGTATTAAATACATTTTCAATGTATGATATTTTCAATTTATGATGGACTTAACAGGTTGTAATTTCATCATCAATTGATGAAGGTCTGTATTTGGAACCAGAGGCCTAAGCTTGGGATAAGGAAGGAAGGAATGGCAGCCAAGTTAACTGTCTAAGAACAATAATTTATTGGCTATAAACTGTGAACGTATTCTCTGCAAAAGTATCGAGGGGGCATCTGTCCAGACTTAGAGTGCTTACCTAACCAAGGAACGTAAAATAGTGTGGGGAAGCCCACTGATGGGCCAAACAATCACCTCTCCCATTAACCACTGTTTGAACGTATATTATGTGATTAAAATGGTGACACGTTCAGTGAATATCTATTGAAATATTAGATGAATATCTAGTATAGAATCTTACTACAGTCTCAAAAAGACTAAGGGGTCAAGTGATTTTCCTGAGGTCATCAGGAGGTATATGGCAGAGTTGGCATTCAGTTCTGACCTGTTTTCCACCCTGGAACCCAGTCTGTCTTTATCACGTACTCTCTGAGAGAGGGTATTGTGGTCCCCAAACTGTCCTCTGGTTCACCGATTCCATAGGACAAACAGAACTCAGAATAGCTGCTGTGCTTATAATTATAGTTTATTATGGTGAAGGGATACAGATTAAAAGCAGCAAAGGTAATGAGTGCATAGCGCAGAATCCAGGAGAGACAAAGGTAGGTTTCTAGGCATCTGCTCCCCGTGGAGCTGTATGGACAGAGCTTAACTCAGCAGTGATGTGTGGTGACATGGAGAGTATTGCCAACCAGGGAAGTTTGTCTGAGCTTTGATGTCCAGGGTTTTTATTGGGGCTCAGTTATAGTAATAACCCCACATGGCTGATCTTAGTTACTCCGTCTCCAGCCCCTTTAGAGGTCAAACTGACACATTATGGCCCAAGACCTTCACCATAGATTATACTGTCAGCATCAACCATCGGCATGACCCAACTTCCTGGTAAAGAAAGACAGTCTTGTCTAGAAGACTATTCTAAGAGTGTTCGAGTGATCTCTCAGGAGCCAGACCTTTCTTAGCAATGTGCAAGGTTTGAGGCAATACTTGACTACAAAGAGAACAAACAATGTAACAATATCCTTTCTCTTTTAAAATCCTTGTTCTACACTGTGCAGTGTGCAGTATTTTCATGCTAATCCTTGCCACCCCATCTAAGGAGACACTATAATCTATGTTGTCTACCCTCTAGAGGCAAGGTCATGGCCTGTATAGCAGAACACCAATCTTACAATCAAGGCCTGGGAAGGATGTGTTCTCTGAGAAAAGAAAACTTAGCCTCTGTGAGAAGAGAGATTACAGGGAAAGAGGTCCTTACCTGATACACATTTAAATATACAAACATTCAACCCATAACAAACAGGATTCTTCTCTACTCTGACAACCTCTAATTGAAGAGCAGAACATTTATTTTAAAGCACGACAGGTGAATGCCTTGTTTAAAAAATATAAATAAACATTAATTAACTGTAAACATGACAGCTACAGACTTGTTCCCTGCTGGGAGCATCTGAGAGGTGGGTGAGAAACAGCTGAGTACTAAATGCTATTCACAGTGTTACAAAACTCTCTAATGGGCTCAGCATCACCTTTTAGTTCCCTGTGAGGCTGTACTTAACCAGCCGCCTGCTGACAGCAGAAGCAGTGCCACTCTTACTAGAGCCAGACCTGTCCTGGACACAGAAACTTAACCATGGTGTCCAGATTGGCTCTTGGACTGCGTGGTTATAGATTAACTGACTCTGTCTAACCTCTAGCTCATAGGAACTAAAGTATCAGGAAGCTACTTCTGGTGGCTAGGAGATATAACCTGTAGGTGGTAGTCGGACATTTGCCTGTTGGTGAGTAGAATAATTTGAACTCCCAGAACCAATGAGAATGTGAGATAGTGAGAGAAAGAAGTATCCTGATACTGCCCGGGGTTGCTGAAGACCAGACAGATCATTGAGTTTGTAGACAGTATGGCAATATTTACATATTGTTTCATCTATCCATCCATCCGCCCATCCACCCATCCGTCTATCCATCCATCCATTCATGCATCTACTCATCCACCCATCCACTCATTCATCCAATCATCCATCCATCCATCCATCAGTCCACCCATCTACCCATCTATCCACCCATCCACTTATTCATCCACTCATCCATCTATCCATCCATATACCCATTCACCCATCCATCCACCCATCCAGCCATTGATCTCATCCACCCATCCATCCACCCATCCATTCATTCGTTCATCCACTCATCCATACACCCATTCACCCATCCATCCACCCATCCATCTGGGCAGTCATCCATGTGTCCATTCTTGTACAGCAAGTGTGTATAATCACCAGAAAGGAAAAAGATGGTCCTTTTTTGCACACATGGTGGGGGGTGGTTTCTATAGTTACTTTGTTAGAAAGTCGAGTAGGGTCTGCAAAGAAACAAGAAGTACAAAATGGTAAAAACTGCAACAAAAGTCCATGTGAGTTTTGTAGGAACACAAATAAGGGGTTGAGTCATCTTCCCTCAAGGTTATGGAAAAACCAGAGAGGAGAGATGCCACTGAAGCTGCACTTGAAGGATTAATAAGAGTTTTTGTTTGTTTGTTTGTTTGTTTTTATTACAATAAAGTAGAGAAAAATAATAGTCTTTTCCCAGAGGGTCAACAGGACTGCCTGTGATCTCTTAGATGTTCTTCCTTGTGAAACTGGCATTCTGGCAAGTTTTCTGCAGTTGGGGTGATTGCAAGGGGCAAAGGAAGGAAAGCTTCTTATTACCTGCCGGCATAGATTCGTTTGATATGACACTGACGTTATAGTCTCTTTCCCATTTTGTTGAGCCCTGATTTTCTGTCTCTAATTTATGAGAGAGGGTCAAAAATCTGTTCCAGGTGTTGGATCCAAAACCCAGAAGCATAGTGAATAATGGTACACTCATACATTGGAGTACTATTCAGTAAGAAATAAACAAGACAGAACCCAGCAGTGATGAGCTAATAACAGACGGACTTCAGAAGCATGTTGAGTGACATAGGATAGACACTGTTTCTACGTATGTAAAGTTCAAGATGGAAGAATCAGAACGTTGGTTGCCTCTAGCAAGGGATCCAATAATGGAGGCCAGGGGGACTTTTGAGGTTAGTAGAAATGTTCTACATCTCAATTAAAGAGTCACTTACACCCAAACTCATTGACTGAAAAGTCACTCGAGGTCTGTGCATGTCACTGTAGGTACATATTTACATGAATACAGAAAATTAAAGACAAACAAATCAAAGCATAGTCACAGGGATTTGAAGCACAGCTAGGAGACAAAGGGACCTGCCCAAAATGAGACAGACCAACACGCAGGCACGCACACAGCAGAGTGGAAAGGCTGTAGGAGAAAGATCTGTTTATGAGTCAGAAAGGTCCAGCCACGACAAGGCATGCCAGCAGAGAAGCCCAGAGAACAGACTCCACCACTATCGGCTAGTAGGAGGCACTGAATCTGTTCCTCTTTGGGGAGGTCCCTGCGAGGGCCAGGAGGTGTGGACATGGCTAAGGGGAATGGAAGAAAGCTGTGAGTCTCCCTCAGGCTCCCAAGAAGGCAGGCCAACAGCCTCTTCTAGGCTTCTGTGTTGCA